TTTCAATGTATCTGATTTGGCAGTTACAAGTAAATTGATGTACACAGTTGTAGGAAACATAGAACGGGTATCTATTGACTTAAGAGAACACTGTTTTATACGCAGGAAATTATCGGGCGGTGATGTCTAAAACAGCCTGTTAATAGTTCCTGAAATGTCATAATCTTTGAAATTGAGGCAAATGAACACAAACTTTTTGTTGGCTGTATTTTTCTTCGACATTTTGCTTTTCTCTACTTATTGATAAATGTATGCGGATACCCATTTTCCTGAGGGCACGTTTCAACTATTCGTAACGCTTCTCAATAATCACAGGAACATGTCATTTTGACTACGTGAAATAGGGTTTTAATTAATGCCCGTCTGCAGTTAATGTCTCAAAAGCTATTAAAATTCAGATAGGTACCAATCCACGTCTTATTTCGATGAAACCATATACATATACTAAGTTGTAAGTGGCTGACAAAATACCACATAAATCCAAACTGGTATGACTTTCTCGTCTGTTAATCATTTAGACACGTGTATTATCAGAACAGTTTAATAACAATTATTTACTGTGATAAAATTGCGAAACCTCAAAGAAACTTCATATGTGAGTGATATGCTTTCTTATATTATTGCTGACCCAAAAGAAGAATGTCCTGGCACATTTCATGTCTTCCAAGTGTTTGATTTGCTTCTTTCAGTCCAATGAAAAAGTTTGTGATTGACATACCTGATAAGGATTTTTAGTTAGATAATCTTCGTATTCTTGGCTGAGGTTTGTGCTAACTAGTTAGAGTCAATCCTTTATTGTTTGTTTTATTCGTAGCCATTTTCTGAATATGACAGAAGATCCTATAACGTAAGATGGAATTTGGGTTATAAAGTAAACTTGAAATAAGAACATGTGCATGTAACATTTTCAGTCCACAAGGAGGCTAACACATTCACTTGAAAAAAGATTGAGAAATTACAGTATGATTTCTTATAGAAGCCGAAATTGGGACTCAGTACTATAACTGACTTTGAGAACAAAACCTAACATGCAATTATTTATAAGTATGAATAGTTGAGAGTCGTTTACATCAAGCTATAGTCCAGTTTTTCTGCGTGTGCTCTTGCCATAGTTCCTGACGTTCAGCAGATTACAGCTTTTAAAGTTAGTTCTATCTCAGTATAGCAATTCGATTATTCCTATTTTGTCATTTTGTCTAGAGATTAATATCCTGATAAACCCGAAAAGCGACTGATTTGCTCGGGAGATGTTTTTTGCAGTTCAACAGTTTGAAATAAATTTATATGAGTAAGCTGCTGACTACCCGAATGACTAAATGGTTCTGGGAAATGTTAATTAATGGTTTGGACTAATTACAAACTATGTCATCCAAGAGTACACTTCTTGAAAAAAGCTCGTCAAATAAATAAGCTACTGTTTTTTGCAAGTAGACAAGTTGGTTATGTGAAATATTTACTGTGGGTGTTTGAATTGTATTAATAGATGTGTGGTACGCTATAAAATGTTCCGTATACGTCGATCGCTTAGCTGACTGTGTAAGAGATATAAACGAAATATCTGAAATTTCACTTCAATCATTTACAGAACTCGGTTTTTTTCTGCTATAGATTTGGTTATTATTGCGGCGAAGCTACACTCGAAGAAGAGATTATTTTTCAGACAAATAAAATATATTTCCTGAAATTGAAAAAATGTTTCTCTTCTTCAGTGATACGCTTCATTTCAATAACTAGTAAAACATACTACTTGTTGTGATGCAAATTTAGACTAAAGTGGCGTGTGGTATGTTTATCAGTATGGATAGGTAGGGAAGGTAGAATGTTCACCAAGACAGCCTATGAAAAATAAGTTTGTTTATCTTTTGTTTACTTCCGGATTGTGTCAGTTCAATCATACCTTGTCTGTCAAATAAACAACAGATCGTGAAACGCAAAACAATGAGGGTGAGACAATGTCTCTCAATAAAAGACTGATATATTACCAAAAGTTTTCAATATGTTTTTGTTTACTTATTTTACATTTTTTACTCTTTATGATATTCAGTTGATTATTTGAGAGAATTTCGAAAAAATCCTAAGACGTCTATATTATTTCAGGCCAGCTCTGACATGGTTCTTTATGATTCTTTGGGCTGTTTTACTTTTATGCGGTTCAGCCAAGAACTCTGGCATATTACGACGAGTGTTCACGGAAAAATGGATTTAACAGTGACAAAATTTATGTCGCATTCTTACTTGTTATTCCCTAGATTATTACCGAGTATGCTGTGAATATCTCTGTAACTGACTTGATTATGTTTACGGAACCTTCAATCATGAAACTAACTAGGCATTTCTTGAGGTGGGAAGCTTCACTGTCATATTATAGTACATTATCAAACTCCATTTATGGAAATCTAGTCAACTGATGAGAAATAAATTTTTTATGAGCTTCCACATATAGAATCTGAAGTCTTCATGGCGGACAAAAGCTGAATAACAGGGTCCTGAAATGACCATTCAAATGAATAGTTTCAGACAACCGACCACATAGCTTTCTGATTAACCACTGTACCAACAATACTGTACTGTTTTCTTGGAAGACGTATACACAAAACTAAACTGTAAAGGGATTTTCCTGTATGCCACTTGGTGCAGAGTTTCGCATTTTGACTGACTGTCCCAGTTCATTTGTTAAATTCTTTGAATATATATATATATATATATATATGCATTCTTCCGCAGAAAAAATTCAAACATTATCTATGGTTACGGATAGTAGAAAACTTTCTTAGCTTCACTTCTTTCGGTTGCAGTCATTGGAATTCCGCTAATCAGGTATAATAAAATTCCTATTCAATGGTCTTAGGATATGAGATCCTACTTGCTTTACTTTTGTTATGTGAGAAGCTACTGTGACGAACTAATGAACTCTGACACCGAACAAACATCTCTTATCACTGGAAGATGAAGGGGTTATCCGTTTTAAAACCATTGACTTGAAGTCTCGATTGTTGGAATTGATTTTTTTAATCATAAATAACCTTCAAACAATAACGTTTCTTTCTCTGAATCATTGTTCATTTAGTTTTATTTTCAAGTTTTCTCACTAAAAACCACAGTCCTTTTATTCGTCTGCTGAAATAAACTCTCCAATACCATGGCAAATGTGTCAATGCTTTGCACTAATGCCTTTCTATAAATGGGAAATAAACTTTTTCGATACAGAAGTTTACTCACTTTGAGATAAGTATTGTGAATCCCTAATATCCTGACACTGAAAGGTGAAGAAAACTCAAAGCTCATGTAAACGTTTTGTTTGAAATTATTACATGGATAGAACAGAAATGATTTGACTATCTGAGATAGTCGTAGTTTAGCAGTTGAACCTCATAGCTCAGTTGGTAGAAAACCGGGCTGGTAATCCGGTGGTACCTGGTTCGAATCCAGCCATATTCCAGATTTTCGTCGCACCTTCAATCATCACCCAGAACAGAAATGGACATCTTAATGCAAAACACAGCATTTTGAACTAAGGTATACCTTTCTTTGGTTAGAAAAAATACTAACTCTGATTTAATCATTACATCAGAAGTAGACTATTTTTTAAAGTTATTCTGAACATCATGTAAAAGTAGAGTTGACTGTTGGACTTCTCAGTGGTAGGTTATTGCTATTACTTGTGTCTGAGGTTACTTATTCAAGTACAGCCTTCAAGTAAGATACATCATTTATTAGGCTTGAAAATACTCAAGAAAGTATTTCATATGACAATGCTGAATACCGACTAAAAAGTGTTGCCATAAGCAGGAGTAGATTATGTTGCGGCCTACAAATACCCTAAGACGTTTCATGATAGACGCTTCATTTGACTACTCAAATAGTCGAAAAGTTTACAGATTTTTACAAACAATTCAAATCATGATGTGCGACTGTAAAGTTTTTGTGATGACTTCGAAAAGAATCAAGCAATAGTTTCATCTGTGTGAACAAAAAACATTCTTTTGATAACTTCTTACGGTTCTACAGACATATTTTCAAATTGAGGACTAACCGATCAGCAACATAAAGATTCCTCTTATCAGTTTGTTAATGATATTATGCATTTGAGGAAATCGAATGAGAAAAGTCATGTATGAACGACTTGTTTAGAACGAAATATAAAATGAATTTGAATGATTCGTTTTCCATTCTGCATCGCGTTACCATCAACTTGCCAAAAGGTACCTTGCTCAAGATCATTCAAACTGTAGAAACTGTTGCAATCAGGATCAAACAACCCGATTTGTTTTCTTAAAGGAAGCACGTATTGTCCCTATAACTATCGTGGACCGATTCGTTAGCATCCTACCCTTTTTGAAGATAACCCTTCTTTCATGTAATCTAAAGTGGTTTTAATAAATTCTCTTGACCTGTTTTGTTCGATTCAGTTTTTTTCATCCGGCTGCCATAAACGCCTTCTTATTGTTTCATTAAACTATCACCTTGCAGCATTATCTACGTTCTATACTCGTTTAGATAATCATTTATTTTGTATTGAATCCTAGTAACAATAGACTCTATCATTAACGTTCACACTAAATTTTCTCAATTGCTCACCTCAACTGTATAGTATTATTAACGAACTGATAAGCGAAATCTCAGTACTTTTGATGCATAATTCCTCATTATATATGTATGACTGTAGAACCTGTAGAAGAAGTTATCGAAAGAATATTCTTTGTTAACTCAAATGGTTTTTGAATTGTAGCCGTAATTCTTTATGAGTTTCGTCTGTAACCAGATTTTTGATATGATCCAAAGTATTCCCACGTTGATTGACACTTTTGCAGTTATAAATCATTCAGACCGTTTGTAAAGCATTCATTCTAAAGAGGTAAGTTGTTTCACGCTAAGCTAGGTTTACTTTTTCGGTTCTTATCGAAAAGTTTTTGATTCAACCTCTATACAATTTATGTTGACTTTTTATTTGATTAACATGTTTTTCTTTCTCCTTTTTCCTGCTATGTTTCAAACAAAAGATACTATTTCTGTACAACCTAACAGTTCACGATTCAGCAGTATTTCAATGTGTCCTACGAAATATCCATGGTTGGAATATTGTCAATGCTTATATTCATGTGTGGAATCAACCACCTGCCTTTGTAAATGTTATTGAAGGCATAAAGTATATTTCTGAAGGTCATCAAGTTATACTACCATGTGAAACATTTGGTGCACCTGAAGCTGAAATTAACTGGTTCCTAAATGGAAAAGACCTTGATTCACTTGATAATATAAAGGGAGATTACGTAATAGAAAACGGAAATTTAAATCTTCCTGTGAGTTTATATTTTATATGAATGAAATGAATATCTATCAAGGGTTTTAATGTTTGTCAAGTTGACAATTTTTTGAGGATGTTTTTAATTACTGACTAATAGTTATTGCTAAGGGGTGTTAAATATGGAAGTAGTTTCTTAAGCCACTGAAGATGGAACCTGGTAACGGAACTGAACGTCAACATTGACCTATTGAATATGAATGAATAGTTAGCCGTCTGCAAGTTCGTCGAATTTCCAGAATAGTGTAGCTGCTACAAAATGGAAACATGACATCGACGTTGAACTGATTACTGAACTTTAGTGTTTCCAGTTGGCACTAGAGAGAATCAATAGTTGTGGATTTAATACTTTACGGCTTAAAATCAAACGAAGTGGGATCTTTGTTCCTGCCTTACATCTTCTGAGCATTATTCTTGTGTTTTTAACCCCCTCGCATCCTGTTTTGTTTTCCGCATTTTCTCAGTATTTTATCCAAATTCAATTCAGCTACCTTCGTTTTCATTCGTTATTCTCTATTTCTATACTGTGTTTCGGACTTCTTTCATTCGAATACATCGGTTGTATATCTTTGGTCTTAACGATCGTTATTTTGTATTGGAATTTCATCAGAGGGAACGTTCTTAATAAGAAAAGTATTTCAGCTTTATATTCTACTCGGTATTTAAATGTAAACCAGTGAACTGGGTCCATTGCTCACTGGCTTAGGCCCTTAACTTTCAACCAATGAGTCATGCACTCGAATTATGCTTCACCTGAAATTAGAGTAGGTAGTTAGTATCACTGGTCCTATCGTAAGAGATGCGGCTTACTGCTCAGTGGATGAAGATGCATGTGGCTGCGGAGAGAGTTTAGTATTTTTTTTGAATCTATCCAACATAATTACCTTGTCGAAATCTCATTTGCACTTTTGTGAACTTATTCTCCAAAATTATCTAAGCTTTCTGAGCAAACCTACTTTCAGCGTATTTTAGCCCTACGTCATTAAATCGAGATGAAGGTGTTAACGTTGCAACAGTTCTGTTTTTATTCAGTGAAATAAGACTAATTAAATGTATATTTTTTTTACTCATATCCACTGAAATCCGTCGTTACAAAAATTTCTCCTTAAATATTTCTCCCTTCTTTTTGTTTTAAATTTAAAGCGTGCAAAATTATCACACATTGGCGAATACACTTGTCAAGCATCAAATGTATTTGGTACTTCAAAATCATCTGGAAAGTTGTTAGTTAGAAAACAAACGCGTATTATATCTGGCCCATTATCTGAACAGGTTTTCAATGAAAAAAACAATAAAAGAATAAAAGTGAAATATCTTACTGAAGGATCAATAGTTTATTTTTCTTGTGAAGCTGAAACAGATCCATTACATAAATCACAGCTTAAACTATCATGGAGAAAGTGAGTATGAATTATTGTGTAGTGAAGGAAGTGTTAATAACATATTTGTGTTTCTTTGTGTTTGATTCAGAAGTGAAGTATGATTTATGAGAAAACATTAAATGATACTCTAGAGGTATTACTGTAAAGACTTCACAAATTATTGATACAGTTTAATTCTTACTTATAATAGAACAGATACAATCCAACTACAAGTTATGTTAAATGTTAAGCATAGCTGATTGATGTAAATGCTGAATTTTCTATTCTTCCATCGAGTGCTTGAACCCTGCTGCATGTACCGAACGTAGGTGTGTTATGTAACCACTTGTCCTGTGATGTAAATGCTTATTTGTCTTCGATCGCATCATATTCTTATAAAAATAGCCAAACAAGCTCCCACATTTCGAAGACGACTAACCTAATATATGTATAAAAATACTGCTTAAGTGCGTTTCATTATAAAAATAATAAATAAAGGATGTTTATAAACTTAGTCTTCTTAATGAATCTGTAAAGTGCAATGATGTAGGAAACTACAAGACGAAGACGAAGGAAGGAGGGTTTATTATTGACACCATGTTTAGTAGTCATCAAATATTGTACACTTTCCACTAAGACGGTTATTTGTACAACGTGCTTCATTTCCTCTTCTGCTTCTATCTTGATTTGCTCTTAATACGCTCACATTGTCTCTTGAATTTCTCTGAGCAGAATATTTACTCATTAATGATAATTGCCTACGATTTCTGTCGCCCGCTCAACATATACTACTTATATCCGTTCTGATCAGCGGCGCCCACTGCAATGACAACAATATTTACAGAATAAGATGAGGTTATTTTGTTGCATAAAGTTTCCATCAGCTACATTTCACGGAATAAATAAGTAAAAATTCACCACAACAAATATTTACATATCTTATATGGAGCGTTTTAAGATACCGGTTAGTGTTTTAAAGATCAGTGAAACATTACAATTCAGGATACAAAAGACGTTCAGGCAATAAATTTAGTCAAACTAGATAAATGTTATATAAAGTGAGGTGAGGAATGATCATGTAATCTCGTAAAAATAATGTCAGCAGACTGGTAAGTGGGTGAAACAAAGTCCTTGTAATAACAACATATATATCGTAATAAGGAAATGCTAATCAATATGAATATGAATGTGAACAAGAGTAAAATAAGTGTCTTAAAAATATTTTTGGAAACGTGAGACTAAAAAGTCACTAGTTACCAAGGTAATAATAAATTAGTCACTGTCTCCTTTTACACATGAAGACTAGGTTAAACTCGTCGGATAGTGACGATTTATGCAAGCCGAAATAGCGCGAGGTCTTTTATGATTTGACTGCTATGGAGGATTTGATCGCTTCTGCTTAATGTTCCGTGTCACATAAGTGACGAGCGATTGCACTTTTGAACGAGAATAGACCTCTTAGAAGTAGGCTCTTTGGTATGTGCCTGCAATCTTGGTAGACAAATATCTCTCTGTTTTTCTTACCTACCTGCCACCTCATGTACATGTGAGTTGATATATACAGTTGGAGTTGTCAAGAGTTGGAACCTTGTTCAATTTAGATTCCGTAATTGCACATTTTGGTTGGCACAGTGAGACAAGTCTCACAACCGGATAGGTTCTGGACAGTGCAATCGTAATTCTGTTGATTCTTGTCACAATATTATCTCACGTGAATACCAAAGAAAGAAACATTAGTTTCTTCTCAACAGTGCTTCTCTCCCATCTTTCCTGTTCGCTTTTGTGGTACCTCTGCACGAACTTAGCTGAATAGCCACTACTGTGTAGAAACTGTTTGAATGGTTAGGATTCTGCTGAAGTTTTTGTGGGAACATAATCTCTCTGCTCTCTGGTACAACGCTCTAAGCCTCTCTTGTAGCAGATTGTCCAGCTGTTAAATTTTCAGTACTAACCTCTTCATATAGTTTTGGGGTGAATGCTCTTCTATACTGTACTATCTTCATTATATCTCAAATGTAAGTCAGGAAAATTCAGCTGCTTGTCTTCGCATGCCATTGTAAGCATAATACTGTGATGTGCATCGCTGAAATATTGAAGCAGCCTCCTTTCTTGTTGAAATTTTCACAAGTAATAAATGTATCATCAACTTATCCTGAATAAAACATGGTTTTTTCGATTCTAGGTTTTAGTATGGTATTCTCTTAGTTTGACATACGGATATTCACTATTATTGGTCCTAATGGACTTGCAATAGACATACCGCCAGTTTTTTTATGCATGGTGCCGTCAAAGTGAAACGAAACATCTTTAATGCATAAAAACAGGAGGGACTACATGTCTTTTTATGACTGTGAAATATCTTTTGTGTGTTGTAAAATATCTTCTATTGTCTTAAAAAGAGGTGCACCCTTGAGCAGAGAAGTGTCTTATGAAGCAATCAATTTATCTCTCCGAAGTCATTCGGTTCGCTGAATAGTCTGGTGACGATTTGCTGTAGAACAGCAAGAGAAGTAGCTAGACTGAAGTTGTTTGAAAGTGGTCACGAAGTTGTATGTTTTCTATCTCAATTCATCAAAGTACTATGTTCACAAAGACTGTCACCATCACACAAAATTCTTCGACATGTAACGATATCTCTCATTGTCTCAATAAAGATGACAAATAATTTACGATCAAAGTTGAATTATTTTGACAAATATGTAAATGAATTAGGCATCGCTCGTCGAATGAAACTCTTCAGTTGTACCCAAAGTGTTCAGTCAAAAACAGTCGGTTTTCAAAATCCTTTAGTCTACAACTAACTTTTTGATGACTTTTCAGCGAACTCGAAAAATTACAGATTCAATTTACCAAGTGTCCACTTAGTTCATTTTCAAAAAAGCTCTTTTTCTTTGGTTTTGATTTCATATCCTAAAGAAAATCTTCAGCTGAAAGATACTGAAACTAAGTTTGAGAACTTCTCTAATCGGTTGGTTGATCTATAGGCTGTGGATGAAGATAAGAAGAGGGGATTCATATTCAAACTTGTTGACATTGCAAGTCGGTACTACACATCCGCATTACTCTGGTACAAGCTCCTCACTGAAGAACATCTTTCGGCTTTGAAAGGATTGAGAGTAAAAAATAAACAGTAATTCTTCAACATGACAACGACTCCGACGTGGCTGTAGTGAGTACGGAGAAATATATTAATGAGATGGATTTAACGCTGGATGATGTTACACAATTGAGGATAGATTATCACAATAAAGAAAGGGCAGAAGCAGTCTAAGAGTGAGGTAGAAAGGAACTCAGGGAACCACTCAAAAGAAAGGTGACTGATGTTGAAATCTATAATGAACTCAGACTCAGAGGATTTCACCACCCATTCATGCATGGACAACCAAAAATACATCCGACGGGCATGTTGAAAGGAATATTCTATCTATGGTTAACTCTCCATTTCAAAAATTTTCCTTTTAGTTAGCATGGAAGTTAGAAAGGATTTGCCAGAAATTATCAATATGCACTTTAAATGATTCGTTTAAATCCATCGAAAGAATAAAACATCTCAATTTATCGGTTGGTGCTATTATTACAGCCAGTTTTGAGGGTCACATTATTTGGACTCTCTTATCATTTAGTAGATACCCTAGGAAAATATTAATCGGTGTGAAATCCCTTGAACTTGACGTAGTGCAGCAGATTCAGTAGTCTATACATTATTTTTAAACTGTCGAATATACATAATATGGTAAGCAAACTAGATGTGATACTGCTTGCGACAGAATACATTTCACGTATACTTCGTTTATACCCTTTTTTCAAGAGACTTTGAACAAGTTCGTTTGATCAACACTGAAAGAAAGCGTGGATAACAGTAGGATCTGAACTGTCATGGTCGTTTGCTGGGCACGAAATTTAGTTGAAACGTGACTCGTTGCTAGGTCACATAGTTGACCTAGTAGAACATCCGGTAGTGAATGTCATTGTTAAGTATGTAGATTCTATCGCGATGGAGGCTGTTTACACCAAGCAAATCATCTTTGTATATCGATTTTTTGAATCAGTCAATATACTTGTGAGTTGTTTCGAGTTGGCGACATCATGTAGGTATCATAACTAATTTCTGTCAGGTGGATAATATGTGATGAGAAGATAGTACTAATCCTGTGTGTGCTTTTATACCTTTATTTTTATCCTGTTGATAATATCAAGCGATATACACTGTATTCATTTTTAATTTAGAGATAATATAACACTGGATGACACTTATCGCAATGATAAACGTTTCAATTTATCATCGGATGGAAAAAGTCTAATGATTATTAAATTAAACCCAAGTGATACTGGGATCTATATGTGTGTGGCGAGTACACAGTTGGATAACGCAAATTCATCTATTTATCTCATAATTCAAGGTAATCAAAGGTTAAATAATTATACTTACTCACTTTAAAATTTTGGAGGGTTCAGATTTGTGATGTTTTTAGAATCTTATTCATCCAATTACCTGTTTACTCTCTTTAACCAGTATTAATTATTTGTGGATAAGGTCATCAGCCAACTTGTAGACTCAGTGTATATCGCGTGCATAGGAATTATCTCAAAAAGAAACTTGCTTGCTATTAAATTCTATGGTATGCAACTAAGGTATTCTATTGCAAGTATGTCAAATTACTCAAAGCATCCATCTTTTCTGTCCCAGTCTTTGCTTTAATCTTCAACACTTCATGCATAGTAATTTCACCTCAGACTGTACCGCATAAATGGCAGTTTTGAGAAGTTCACTCTGATCAGAAGTCAAATCAATAAGTAGATGTGTGAATGAACCACTATTATTATTATTAGCAATTGCTCAAAAATGAGCTCTGTTCGACTTGTGTATGAGAATAAACCCTGGTGTAAAACCTTCAATGTTAACTAAATTATTGACCAAGTTTGCAGCGTAATCACTGAGTTAAACGAACTAAAGTTGTAGTGCTCTGCTTTTCGTGTTAAACATTTGTAGGAAGCTTCTTAGAATCTCTGGATGTGACCTATATTTCTTATTCACTGATATTAATACTTGAAGAGTACCTTCAACTCTAAGGAAATCCATGTTTCAATAGTTTTTCTGTTAGTTACCTTCAGTCATTCAGCATCAGACAGTAAATCTGACGTCATTTTATTCAGATGTTCATCATATCACAAGGTTCTTTCAGAGGATTTCAGTGACTGTTGACAAACCAACGCGTATAATTCTGTTTTAAATAGAGTCATTACAAGCCTTTCAAGTTGACGAATAAAACAAACAGATGTGAAGTCTATACGCTTTCACTTATATTGAGAGGCTAAAATTCTGTCAGCAACCTTGTGCACAGTCATGCGGTAGGCAGCGAGCCACACCTATTGTGTGAGAGCTAGTGATACCAGCTGGCTACGGAAGCTCTAATGGGTGGGGAGGGGTTAGAACCTGTGATACATATTGAAAGTCAACAGCTAAAACATAAAAGCCACAATTCCATGCCTAAATTATAAGAGAATATTTGGAGAATTGTTAGCAGGCTGACTCAGTGTCAGTGCTTCTAGATGTACATCAATCCACGAAACAAAATTCATAGGGCAAACACTTTAAGCATTTAGCGATTCAACGAATTCAATCTGAAGTATTTTGTAGATTTTATTTGTTTTTAGGAACTACACTGATATTTTCTAATTTTTTTGCTTTCTATAACAGTCCGATGATTTGTTTTTACTTTGCTTTATAACATCCAAGGAAAGAAAAAAAACTTGCAGCGATGAATTCCTTTTTTGCGAACTCCTTTTCACTAAAATGTATAGGTAAATGCGTAGTATAAGGCATATAACTTACTGACCGAAAGAAAAGGGATTATGCACCTCAGGTGAAGATTATTTATTTTAATACCAATACGTTTTTCATAGTAATAATCTATAGCTTAACGTAAGAGCTTAGTTATTGACTTCGCACTTATTTCCGTACGGTTCATGATTCCGAATTACATACCTGTTAGAAGAAATCAATTATTGTGCATAATTCTGTTTACCTGACATGAAAGTAGTTAGTTCACCTCCGTAAAGTCAATTACATTTATGCATGACTGAAATAACATATAAGGAAGATAGTGAACATCCGTCTTGTGTACTATTGGATATTATATATGGGATTATTCATGCGCAATTAGGCAAACATGTGATGAGAAAATAACATTGAAGTCTGTAACTCCACGGTATGTTTAGGAATATTTTCTATTCGGCGATCAGAGCTCACAGGCTACAGAATGTCAAGTGTGACCTGTGACAAGTAATTTACTTGTTGGGTTTTATCTTTAATTCAATTGGTTTTCATCGCATGTTCTCAAATTTTTTGCCGTCAATTTTTAAAACTTATATTCTAGTGTATGCATTCATTTTGACCACTTTTCTTTTTATTTCAGGTCGTCCTACACCTCCAAAATATCTGAAGCTTAGTTGTGAACGTCGTAGTAGATTAGCACCATATGCTATGTTAACATGGCAAATTGGTGAAACAAATAATGCTGCCATTGAAAAAGTTTTGATTACCTATGTAGCAGGTTTCTATCGTCCTCTGGAGGCCAGTTCATTTTCAGAACAGAGTCATATTGAACCACTGTTCAGTGAAGGTCATCAGAGAGATAAGTTTAAACAACTTATCAAGAGTAATAACACAGACGATAATCAGCTTTATTGGCTCAATAAAAGTTCACTGGAAGTAGCTCAGATGATTATTAAAGAAGCTGTTCTTAAAGACCAATGGCATTTGGCTGATCTTGTGCCGGAATCAGAAATCATTGAACACATTAGACCAATCAACCGATCAATATCGAAGATAGATAATACAGTGAATCTACCAAAACTACCTTCTGAAATTGGACGAGCTTTTGTACGTCTGAATGCAGATGTTTTTTATCATTTTCGTGTTGAATTACTAAATCATATTGGGAAATCTTTACCTAGTGAAATTATTCCATCTCTATCAGATAATCGAAATGTTATGTGTATTCTTCCACCAACGCCAACATCAAGTAATCCGGATTATCTTGTAGTCTATGGAAATGAACCGAATAATTTAATAATCCAGTGGAAGGTAGGTTGCTTTTATTTGCATTTATATGCTTTTTATAAACTGGATAGGCATAACATTATGTTAATGGGACGGTATTATCACTGTGAACGGAAAGTTTTCTATCTATCAAATGGCTGTATCTCTTGACATCAATACGAAACTGGTAATAATGCGTACAGGTAAGTGTTTGTATACTTCACATCATCATATTAAGGTTCAAGGCAATAAGAAGGTAGTTAGAGAAGTAGAATATAAGTAGAAGTTGAAGAATGCTTTTAGAAACAAGGGCGAGGAATTCAATCAAATACCTAAATATAATATATAGTTTTGGATAAAGACAGTGTAAATACATCCTCACTACCATGTTAGGCTTTGGACCATCTTACACATCCGGTTGTTTAAACGTCGGACTTACTTAGCTCTCCAGATTTATGTTTTACCCAATGAGTTAAAGGTAAAACGTGTGTTTGTAAACTTTTATGTGTCTGTTCTCAGGAGCTGGTTCTCATGAAATCAACAACTTATTCGTTTATACATATAATTCTGATGCATCGAGCATAAGATTATGTCAAAGTTTCATATTTTCTCTTTTCTTCACATTTTGCTTACATCTATCAAGGCAGATGTAATTGTCTGTTAACATGTAAAACCTTTATTACTTTTATTCACTACACAAAGAAAGAAATATCAAATAGCTTATCTGATATCAGTAAGAAATCTCAGAAGGAAAAAGAAACGATTATATTTAACTGAGAAAGAAGGTTATTTCAACAGGATGCGGAAAAGCAATGTAAAAAAACTAAAGTTACTTTGACAGTTACCTAATTTATAGATGATTATTTCGCTACTGGTTCTTAAATTACACCATCTGCGTCCATATTTTTCAAAGATTAACTCCAATGTAAGTGAGGTTTGCACTGCGATCTAACAATCATGTCTAGAACAAAGGTTATGATGAGTGACAATTGTGTCAATAAACAGATGAATTCATCTGAGTCACACTAGCAGATTCATTTAATCTAAAGTTTTCAAGTTTATGAGTAAAATTTACCCGCGTATCTCGCTGATCAACTGAACCTCGACACTATTTTTTGACCCCAACTAACACTTAAGTCTAAATGATATAACCTTTCGTAATATATATTTGAAACTGGATTCTTGAATAATAACTTCAGGCTTCATCTCTGATGGTTCCTGTGTTCCTCTAAAACAGAAAGAGGAGGCAAAATGATGAAAGGTAACTTGTCAGGTTGAACGTGTGCAAAAGTTTATGGTTCATATATGTTTTCAATAGATTTGATACTTTTTACCCCTCTCTAGATAGACACTTAGTCAATCTGAAACTCATACGTATGATCATATGGTTTTCACGAATGCTCGACATGCCGTAATTGGTTGTGAAGGCTTTCATGGAGTTCCGAGCTTCTGTAAGGAATCTAAAGGATGTTGATTGACTTCACAACACTTTAAACTACAATATACAAAGTCACATTTGTTTATGAATGTGAATGAAGTAGCTTGTATTTTGCTGATACAATCGGTGTTGACTGACTGTTTATCGGCGGCTTGAGATGTTGGCGACAATAGTGATCGGTGATACTTTTCTTGTGTTACATTATTCTTTAATTTTATGGGTTATGAGTTGGGCACCAAAAAGAATGCGAGAACGTGTTTGAAGTAGAACTTGTCTCTTGTTGATAATCATAAAGGTGTAGACGCCTATCTTTATGCTAGTCGACTGCAAATTCTTGTTGTGCGAAGTCTCTGCATCGTGTTTCAACTTTTCGATTGTCTTATAAACTTTTGCTTTGAATCGAAGCAATGTTCAGGTTGGATAGACAGAGTTGACTGATTACTTCGTAACTAAACAAAAAATCCGACAAAATAGTCATTCATCCATTGTATAAAAAAAGTCTATTTTGTCCACTAATCTATTGTAAAGTGAGAAGCGGTATACAACCGTCATAACTACCATCAGTAAATTATCAAGGGCTTACAATAACTAACAAACTTATTTTGTTTATAGGTTTTTACTACAACAAATGTACACCCTACTTTTTACAACTTTTTCCTCTGCGAATCTGTCTTATCTGAAAGCTAAATGAAAGACTGATATCGTGTCAAGTGAAATGAATGATTGAGTGAATGAATAGCAAAGTGAAAGACAAAACTGATTGAGACATTCTTTTTATTCCTTCACATTTATGGGGGATGAAAGTGATATCACTGAAGCAAAAACTTCTGTGTGAAAAATTTATTTAAGTTTTAACAAGTATACTACTGATGATTTTACTACATACTGAATTGCGCAATTTTACTGTAATGCGCATAAAAATCCAATGGTTAATTTTTATATTTGACGATACTACTTATTATTAGAAAGTAATATGGTTGGTTAGACAGTTCACTTTTTTAACTTATGGAATTGATTCATTTTGAAAAAAAGTTTCATTATCTTCGGTGAATGATACTGTTCTACGGTTTTATGTATCTGATATTCAATAGTCAGAGGCAGTGATTGGGAAGCCCTGAAACGTAGCTGAAACCTCAAGGGCACTTATGTCCTATGAGAGATTCGAAGCCTCACCACCCAGTAATGTAGTAATATGTGTTTGAATCTATCAAAAGATATCAGTTCCTTCGAGGCTGCAGATACGCCTTGTTGACGAGTGCCAGAAAGTATTCATCCTAGGTCCAGGACTTTCTGATGATTGTCTTCGACTGTTTAACATCACTGAATGCTCTGTGATACTGAATCTCCCAAATTGGTGACCACATTGAGAAATGACAAAAATCAGTTACCATTTAAGAGTGGACAACAAGACATTGGTTACTCTCAAGCGATCAGTCAATATGTTTGATATTCACCGCACTTTATCAGTAATTTTATAATAAATGCTGATAAAATATAACTTTTGATAAATTCTATTCTGTTTTATATATTGCTTACTAGCCTCTTGATCCAATTCAGCATAATGGTCCAGGTCTAGTATATCGCTTGACAGTGAATTGCTTAGACTGTATCATTGGTCCGCCAAAAGATGTTGAAAATGTTACAATTGTAAGAAATTGGTCCAAAGACAAATTAGAGTTAACTGATATAATAACACCTCAAGTACTTTCAATGAATATTAAAAACAAAACAAGTAAATGGAGTATAGAAACCTTTCGTACGTATCAGGTGAGTATCATCAAATTACTTCATCGTACTTGATGATGTTTAGTAGTGGAAACCGGTGAGCTCAATCCATTCTATTAATGGCCTCTCGGCTCATGACAAGGAGTTGTAGATATAAATGAATAATCGTGTATCATTTATTTTGTAGTCATAACTGTATTGCTTTTAGGTAAGCTTCGACTAGGGATTGAGATCACTTAAAATACTGTGAGCATGCCGGATCATTAACCAAGAACCTTTAAATACAAAGGTCACCTTATTATCATGCAGGCATTGCATCCAAGTTTTCCAACATTCATCTGCTCGCGATAGTTGCAGTAATCATTCAACTTAGCCACTGACAATTATAAGCTGAATTCATGTGCGTGCATAGTTCTATGCACAGAAAAATCATCTATCCAGCACTATACGACTTTTAACTCCTCTTTAACTAAAGCTAATATAACCCGAAATCAAACGATATCACATGAGTAGTCCTGGTGATTAAAACGAAGAATTCCATTGGTTTTTTGGTGTCTTTTATGATGATAACTGATATCAAATATTATTGATCTCTAAAAAACCTACCAATAGTCTTTACATTTTTTTAATTGTGTCGTTTAATGCTTCATATTCTTCGCATACTACAGAGAAAACGTCTATAGATTCTGTAAAAGTTGTAGTACATTAGTACATTAGATACAAAAAGTAGGCAGTATTAAATTTCATCTTGAAATCATTTCGAGAACCATTAAGAATCTGAAAGCAGTTGACAGCCGTTTCATCACAGTATGGGACTCCCCAGGAGTATGCACCCACTTCGCCCCAGTTTAAACCTAACACCGCGATGAGCACTTTAAACTTTCAGTCACTAGATTTGAGTCCAATGGTTCATATTTACTTCATTCTGTCAATTCGTAGTACAGAGTAGCCATCATGAAGTGTCACTGTTGGTTATCTGTCCTCAAGTCCAACCTATTTTTCCCCACTGATCACAAATTCTCATGAAAATTGCGAGGCATCTCTTCTCGAAATATGAAACTGATGAGCACTAGACATCATTTAGTTTTGGAGGTTTGTGAGGATTGATTGGTCTATTCCTTTTGAGCATTCTGCTCTGTGGTTTCAAATAACTCAACCTAATGACAAATTTTTTGATCAAAACGTGGTAGCTTTTGGTAAGCATTACAGGATATTGCAGCGAAAAATCGATTAATATTTGGAGATAATTCAGAGACCTATGTTCTAACAGATTAACAGTATTGTTTGTTGCAGCAAACAAATTATTTCCCAGATCGAAAATACTAAAAAAATTACGGTCTTTCCTGTTTGCGTTTCATATTTTTTTCTTCTTTTCCAGGTAACATTACAAGCTGAGAATTATTTAGGTTCATATGGTATAAAGCCACTAGTGTTCACTGGACGTTCAGGTGAAGATGTTCCTCAATTATCACCGAATCAACTAAAAGTTTTACAAGTTGGCTCAAATAATATTCGTCTTAGTTGGAAAATTATCAAAGAAGCTGATTTGGTCACAAAAATTAACGGAATATTCCAAGGATTTCGAGTTGAATGGTGTGATGCCGAATTGTCAAGTGATTCATGTGAATTTTATAAAAATTTTCAGGTATGTAAACATTAGCCTTTTCATTAGTTCAATTATCTTGAGAAAACAGATGCTTCCTGACCTACCTTCAAGTTTCTTAATAGCATGTATTGTTGACTTAAGCTTAACTTGGATTACAACCGTTATTTTTGCGTCAAGTATATTGCCGATTACCTACAAAAACAGATTCCTATGGTCAACAATTTTTTGAACTATAATCAGTCTATGAAATGAATTATGCATTTATAATGGTACCGTAGAAATTCCAGTTGAGCAATGAGACTATTTGTTAAAATCTTGTCTGACAGACTAACGCTTTAGTGTGCACTAATAATCAATAAAGTTGACAGTCTAATTATCGTGGTATTTGAACCAACAGCTTTCATGTCATTGACGAGAGATTATGCTGAGGGCATTACATGATAGAATCTCTGGTCAGATCTCTAGTTTATTTCAGTTTGTCAGCTAATATGTAAATAAAAGCAAAACAGCTATTCTTAATTCAAACTGCCACTTGGCAGACTGAAATTTCTAGACTTAACTTAGAAGTTACTGTGATGAATTAAAAACAGTTGAGCATTTCCCGTTTATATGAAAGCTTTGCACAGTATTCGATGCTGTAGTTAAACTATTATTAGATTAGCAGATGGAAATTCTGTAGTTCAGTTAATAAAGTACCATTGTTGTGACCTAAGTGTTTACAGTTCTTAACTGGCTTTGTTTTATGCTCAACTCTTTGCACAATTACATTATCATTACTTTATAGTTGCATTGATGAGTTATGCAGTAATGTCTTTAAAGTAACTCGTCATAGATAAAACAGGCTGTTTTAAAATCACCTTATAAGTAATAGACGTTACTTTTCCATGTTTTTTCTTTATTCTAAAGTGGCAACAGTTCTTGATAAGTTTAAGAGTCTACTATTCAAAACGAAACAGATACTTGGCTCACTTGATAACTCTTTGTTCATAAGAAAGCGTTGCCAATGTGTGTTTATAAGTGTTAAATATGAATTGTTTCCTAAGCAATTCAGTTAAGCTTCGGATGGTGTTGATTTCGTGCAGGTGGACTGCAGGGAAGTTTACCTTCAGCTGTTACAAGTGAAGGGCTGTAAGGCTAAGTGATGACGCTTAAAAATTGATCATAATTAGGAATTCTCCGTCTATACCCCTCTAATCTAGTTCAGTCACTCACCGTATATTACAAGTCATTTTGTGAGTCGGAATGAAACGCAGTATTGGCTCACACTCAAAATGAGAAAAAATTGTAATTTTAACAGATCAAATGATCCTAAGTAGGAAGAAGTAAACCATCATATTTAGAGACAAAGTAAGTTGGTTTTGTAGACTTGTGTATTGAACTCCTTTCATATGTAAAAGTTATGCTATGATATAGAATTTTGTGCTTTAAACGAATCCTATTAGTTGTATTCAACACTTAGCTTCTAAGCTATTAAACTAGGCACCTTATTGTGGTGCTAGATGGTTTACAGGTACTATTCCTTAAACTGAATTTCGTGCCTGCTGGTAAACCTCAGCTAGATGATCAATAAAAGAGTTGAGCCCGTATTCTTTTGCTCCACAGTCAATACATTGCTACTGATCTATGTCGGTTATCAAACATCAAATACCAACTGGTCTTCGAAACATTATTTATTAGTATGATGCTAAGAACTTCATTTGCAGTTGACTCCACTGGTGCGCTTGGCTAAATTTTTCTAGCAGAAATTAGAAGTGTTATTGCTTGTATTATACCATCGTCGATTGGACCGAATTGACCGGTCCATTGATCGGCAAATGGGCTCGTGAGCAGATGCCTAGATAATGACTGTGTTTTTAGTTATATAGTTATGATGGATAGTGGTTGGCAGTGGAATCCAGAATGCTTATTTCCTCCTACTTAGGACTCGTCAGCTGGATGTAACTGCCTCCTAGCGAGTGATGTTATTCCCACCGGGATTTGAACTCGGGACCGATCGCTTCAAACTTCAAAGAGTAATCCACCAGACCACCAAGCCATGATATGTCAATAGAGACAGATCACTTCGGTCCGATCAACGACGGGGTAATACAAGCAATAGCACTAGAACTATGCCCGTCGCACAAGAAGTGGATATTCCGGCTGTCTGGTCTAGCGGATAACACCTTGAAATTTAGAGCGGTCGGTCCCGAGTTTGAACTCCGGTGGGAACATCATCACTTACTGGGAGACAGGTACATCCAGCAGATGAGCCCCAAATGGATGAGAAACGTATCCTGGATTCCACTGCTAGTCACTATCCATCGTTACTGTAGAAATTAGAAGTGTTAGATTAGGCAATTCCTAACTCGCTGTTATGCCCATATGGTTATGACCGTTTCGAGTAGGTTTACTTAACAGTTTGTAGAAACTCTAAGCATACCATTGTTGTCTTAAACTTTCGTAAACTTTCAACTAACAAAGTTTGCATGGCTCAGTGGTGAAGAAAAATATATACAGTTGAACAGCTCTCTTAGTTAGAAACCGCTCACGTCTCTCTGTAAGTTTCACCAAGTAGAGCAAAGTGGTGTCAACAGCGAACAGATGTTTCTCTCTTGTGAGGTCGAGCTAATCAGCGGTGCACCTACAAATCGGACTTGGTGCTTTCTAACTACTCAGCTTGTTCAGCAGTGTATTTCTTTGGTGGATAACACTTTTGTGTCAGCGATCACTCCTTGTGGTCTTGGCTGACGAGTGGTTTCCAGCGAAAACCGTGTTACCACCACATTTGGGTGATAGTTGAAAAACTTTCCAGCTGCGACAAATATCAATGAAGACCGTGCAGTTAGTAAATCTTTTTTGTAAATTGACCATCTTATTTAAGGAAGAGTGGCACAGTTTGTTACAGTCATCGATCTACCGGTTATACACTAGCTGTGGATATATGTTACTGTGTAGCAGGCAATCCAACTGAGATAATCATTCGTTAGGTTCATAATTTTGAACTTAGTGGGATGAAAAATCTGGGTCTAGATTGAATACTTTTGATTCTTTTGAAAGGGATAAGTTCATTTAGAAGAAACTTAAACTGAAATCTAGTTTTTCTTTGACCAACCGTATTTGGTTCATGAAAGTTTACTCTGTGACTAATTTCATAATTCCAATTCATTCATTGTAGTTAGTTATGTAATACTTGTGGTAATAATTTGCATGGCTTCCTGTCTGCAAATTTTTGTTGGGGATTGTTTACTGTCGGGTTCAAACTCGTTGACATAGAGCTAACGTGGTCTGGAATATCTGAAAGTGTTTGATTAGACCATGTGCAATTTTAAGCACATAAATTGATCACCTGATGGAAACTTGTGTGTCACTCAGGTCTTGTAAGAGAATTAAAGTGTACCAAGTTATTCCGTCTTATGATAATTGAATCTCTTGTAAATCACTCAACTGAGATTGAAAATCTTGTTTAAGTCAACTGAATGAGTACTGAAGAAAGAAATTTTATTATTGTGTTGTTACACTGTTATTTTGTATTCCGCTGTAGGATTATATTGTTGAACACCCACCATTGTGGTCACTTCCAGGTTTACGTCGGAAGTCCACAACTTCAATAAAGATACCAGTAGACAAAAATAATGATAATGAAGTCATGAATTTATCTAAGATTTCTTCCATGTCTGAACAGAAACAAACTGATACACTTGCAAATATTAAATTCGAAGATGGTGTATACAAGGCTTATTTAAATGAATTACCGGGTAAATCAAAATTAAAAATCTGGGTTCGTATACTTAACATCCAGTATGCTGGACCAGAGAGGTAAGCAGGTTGATAATTCATTATTTTATGTATTTAGTTGTTTTATTTGAAAGTGGATGCCTTTCTCTTTAAATACAGCAAACTCAGTGAATGTATTGGATGTCCTACATATGTAAGCACTCCAAGATGTAGGAAATTATGGCATGAAAGTTATCAACAAACGATGGAGTCAATACAGAACTTTAAACAGAGATCACTCATTTGCAGTTACCTGAATTCACAGAGACTGCATGGTTATATTCAGCATCTGGTCAGATCACTCTTAGTTCTAACGTGATCCCATTTTAATCAAAGTTGTGCATTGAAAATGGGATGGTGTCTGCATACGCATAGAAGATGTTCTAGTCACCTCAGTCAATCAGGTTGACAATCCCACCAATAAATTTACCTTGATCATCTAGAATTCTTCACCTCACCTCAGTACTGTTTCCACTCCCGTCGAAATTGTGTCATAACCTTGACTGATTTTCAGTGTCACTGAATTTGATAATATTTTCGAGTGAAGATATTTATGAGTTGGGATCTCAAACCTATCAAAAGGAGATATTTTCAAATTTCCAGGATTGGTCTTCTAGTCAAAATAGTGAAATGTAAGGGTAGCATTTTCTGTTGAAGTCAGTATTTGCAATGTAACAGATTGCTCCAGCGTCCTCTGTATGAACATCTAAGGCTTCGCTCTAGGTTTCAGAGAGGTCTGGGGATCTACAGACGTTTCAGTACAAAAATGTTAGACTGGTCCTCTCGTCAAGCAGAAGACATCCGAGCAATGCATCCACATGAAAATGAACACCCATACCACAGCATTCTGTTAACACTGCCAAATTGGTGAGTGTTTTCCTAGAATCCTCCTAACTATCAGGCTACAACTCACCCACATGCACGGGGTAGTCAGTTTGTTGATTGTACTCATTTTCCCGTCGGCAGAAGTGCATCGGATTCGTCTCATTGAAGTCACCACAACCTTGGAGACAAGGCCCACCTCCTCAAAGAGACATCCCTTTGGAAGGAATGATCAAATGACCCATAACACTAGTGGATTAACAGCAGTGGATCCTTTAAGGCTGCTGAAATACGGCTAAATCTAAGGTTGACAACACTAACATCCCGGAAGGAATATCGCTGTCCCTCGCTAGGCAGACTACACCATTTTCTACGGGTTACTTCAGCAACAATGAATACTAGAGTCGCCTTACTTTTTACTTGCACTGTTTCCAATATCCTGGGTGGTATTTGAACAGCTAGCAAAACCATTCGTGCTTTAAAAACCCGCGCTACTAATCTTGCGGATGCGGATGTTGTTGACCGTGGTTTTCAGCAAGTCAGCTTGACGATAGAGCAATGAAAAGGCTAACCATCTTGCTCAACTCGTAATCCTCGGCACTTAAAAAACCCCCACGTCGTCATGAGGCAACATGGACCACTTAACAGCGATGCGTAAAGCTTCTTTACATTGACACCATGCTATGTAACTGTGGTGCCGTTCAATGCTGCTTAAAGAGGCATATTTAGTTTTCGTATTAGCACCAATGGTAGAATGCGTGAAGTGTCGGTGATTTTTTAGCATTCGTTGATAATATATCCTGTTGTTTCTAAACTGTTATATACTGTCCAAGCATCCGTATGAAAGTGTTTTGTCGAGAAGAAACTATTCATCGATAGCAGATATGCTTTAATGCTTCCTTATTTTAGTATAACCAATTCTTGAGTCACTTTTTCTACATTTCTGTTGCCTTTTTTGAAGGAGAAGATAAACGGTTATTCAAACACTCTCGTTGCATTTTTATTGAGGGTATCTAAGGTTCTTTCAATGTTCATTTCCACACTCAAGTGTGTTAATGACATTACGAGTATATTCGCATCCCGAATGATTCATGGTAGTCACACAGGTTCAAGTGATCTATGAGCGGTATTTTCTTTAATGTTGAACGACGTAAAATCTCGGGAATATATGAAGCTCTAAGTTTTACTTCATCGACCGAATTGTAATCTGCATGAATCTCCAACACATATGTCAGCTGAGATTTATTCGTAGTTTAGGCACTTCTGGAAGGTCTTTAACAGGCTAACGACTAGTTGTATACTGATTTAAATTAGTAGTAAATCACTAGAGTGGTTCATCAAATGGCTCCTCAAACCTTAGGAAAACTCCATCATTTTGTAAATTTCTATTTGAACCACGTCACAGAATTTGTCTGATTACGATATAGGGATCAATTTTGCAGTACTACCTCTAAAATAAGCGTTCAGTCACTTCAAACATTGTATACAAACTAACCTCCAACCCTTTTAGTTACTAGTTTCTTTCACATATGTAGTAAATTTATAAGTTATCTTAATTTTGCCTTTTAGCACTGTGTTATTTATCTTTCATATCAGTTACGAAGTCATCTAAAAATTGTGATTTAAGACGTATTCACAAAGAAACATGTAGACGAATAGTTGATATTTTTGAAATGTATGAGGATTTTAATTTAGAAGTAGTATTCATCATGGACTGACATCAGTTGGGGAACCACTGAAAGTCTGGGAGCACTGGACAGCCGTTTCGTCCTAGTATGGGACTCAGCAGTACGCACCCACAACCCGGCTAGGGATCGGATTCAGGACCTTCAGGTTTCACGGCGAACGCATTAACCATTCTATCCCTGGCCGGGTTGTGGGTGCGTACTGCTGAGGAGTCCCATACTAGGACGAAAAAGCTGTCTAGTGCTCCCAGATTTCCAATGGTTCCCAAACTGATGTCAATCCATGATGAATACTACTTCTAAATTAAAAATCCCCATTCATCTCAAAAATGAATAGTTGATATGTTTGAGCGTTAATTTTATCTTCATAAAAATTGCATTTATGCGTACAATTTTTCAATTTCTAGTGATACAGTAATTGTTGAAACTAAAGAAGGTGTCCCAGGAAAAGTATCTGAGTTCACTATCACTTTTATTGGTGTCAATCATATTGAAGTGTCTTGGATTAAACCAATGATATTGAATGGTTTTTTAACTTCGTATGATTTAGAAATTTATTTGAGTAAGTTTCATCTGTTTATTAAAGATTTGTCGGATAAAACATTTTGAAATTTTTAGAGATTATCAGATATCGTACTTAATTACTAAGTGTTTCCTAAAGGTTTGCAAAACTTTTTCGAAATAGTTAAATCGGTTAAAAGTTGAGGTTTTCAATAGGTATTATATAACTTATTGATTACGGTTTCATAGGTGTCCCACTTAGACTGAAGGCGGGAAAACTTTGATTTGATTATCTCATTAATGAAAACTCAGTTCAGGAAAGGGTATCCAAAGCATAAACAGTCTACCGTAGATAAAACAACTATTGTTTCAATTATCTGATGACACAGCTGAGGTATTAGATCAGTGTCAATCTTCAGTTTGACAAATGATTGCAGCATTCACTAAAAGAGCGTTCTGGAAAGATGAAATAAACCACTAACATGTATAAGGTAGTCAGTTGTAGAACTCACAGTCAGCTGGTGATGACGACGATAATTCCAAAGCACATTGTGCAGTTCATCCACTAACTTTATTAGATAAGACCTAGTGTGAGATAATAAATCAAAAGAAAGAATGGAACAGTCAGTTAAGCATAACTTCCAAATGGAGATATTAGAAACCAGAAGAAGAGATCAGCATAGGAATAAATAGTCTGCATATGAGTGAATGGTAAAAAGAATCTGATGAGATACAGATCACATTTCTCATGAATTTTGGTTTAGAAATTGACTCTTTGACTTTGAAATCTAATCTCATTTTACTGATATTTATAATTGTTTTGATTATAGACAACTTTACAAACAATGGACAAGTATTTTCGAAAGGCTTAAAAATCGTTTCATCAATAACTATTGAAGATCCTGAACAGTGTGCTACTCGAATATCAGGTTTAAAGATGAATACAAATTATTCCTTGTATATTTGGGCTAAAACAGCCATGGGACGTGGTGAACCGACTTTTGTGAACTTTCGTACAGCAACTTTTAGTCAAGGTAAGATATTGTACTCAATTTTGTGAGTTAGTTGAAATGTTCGTATTTTGAGTAAAATTTTTGAAAATGTTCACTAAAGATATTCTTATTTAATTAGTGATTAGCCGTTGGTTTCAGCGTATATCTACTTCTGCTTTCTTTCGTTACCAAACATGAGGTTTAGTTGTTCTCTAGCTGACACCAGTTTCATATAAAAGTTTTCAAACGAATAAGTTTTCCATAAATTTCCTTAATAATGAATGATTACAATAAATCAATGACTAGTTTCGACAAAGATTTTCTACAGCTTTAATGTAAAGTTACTGTCCTGTGTAAATAACGAAGTCAATAGCAAGATAAGTATGCGTTGACGATAAGGATCGAACTCTTTAGTGAAATAACTCTAAGATAGAGACTGTTGTAACTTGGTTGGCTATGGCTACCAGAAGAATCCAGGATGCGCGTTTTATTCTAGATTGAAATGTTTGTTTTCTTCCACCTTGTTTTCAACATTACATCCTCTGATATGATCTTGGAATTAAAATTATCATGAAATTTCTGTAAGCTATTTACAAGAGTTGAAGGTGATGAAAGTGTTTATTGTTTCAGTATTTCGATAAACTACTTAACCACAGAACATTTTAGCTTATAAATGAACTAATCATTGTATCAATGTAGGTCAAAGGAAATTTTAACGTCACAAAGGTAAACGTTAACCATATTCACAAATGGATGTTTGATAACGTCTTTCCTAATAGGATGAATTATATCAGTTAGCCAATCTACAAATCTTTTCGTATCCATTTGACATTTACTCAGTAAGAGGTGTAATCCACTACCTGTTAAAACTAAAACGTTTTATCGAAGTGAAGTATTTAAAGTTTTCTTGATCACTTCTTTATTTGCAGTCGACATCCATACACAATTTAGTAAGTCGATTTAGTTGTAAATGAAACTGGATATCATTTTGTACGCTAACGAAAAAATTCATTGTAATTAGTACATGAATAACGGTCACTCAGCATAAAGAACAAGATTCGGATTTTCAGCACTAATGTCAAGTCACTGCTGCTATATGGCTCACGAAAAGCACTTCCAACTAACTACAGACACTCATCAACAGCTGCCTACGCTCGTTGCTTAAGATCGGATAGATGGCCAGAAAGAATAAGCAACAAGGAACTCTGGGGACGAACCAACCAAGAACCTATCACTCAACAAATATGCAGAAGAAAGTGGAGATAGGTTAGGCATATACTGAAAAAGCCGACTGGGGTCATCACGCACCGAGTCCTCCAGTGGAATCCAAAGGGGAAATGGTGAGTTCGGCTTACGAGATGAGGAAGACGTGGAGGAGGTGGTGTGAGTAGGAAATAAAAGCTTGTAGGTAGTCGTGGAGGGAAGTTCAAAAGACTGGAGAGAAGAGAGTGTAATGGAGGCGTGCTACTGAAACCATAAGTTCCACCAGGAACCCAAGTGAAAATAATAATGATAATAATAATAGTAATAACGGTCACATGTAATTCTTCACGTTTCTCAATCACTTAACCCACTAGTTGATAAATAATTATCTATAAATCTATACAAACATCCTAATACCATATGAATCAAAATAATTTCAAGATCATAAAGAAGAGACTAGGAATGTGATTCTTTCTACTCTTCCATTTTCGTTACTGCGACAGTACCGTGAAGGAAAGAATTTAGTTGAATGTTATTTCAAAAGTGGTCAATGAAAAGGAAGAGGATCTTTCATCAATTTTCAGTTCTTCATTATAAGAGTACATACTAATATCCTCCAAACGTATTTAGAAAATCATAACAATTTTTCTCAACGTTTCTCTGTGGAAGCCATAGCTTCTTCAGTATAAGATTTGCATTTATTATTAACATTAAACTATTTAATCTTATACTACATCTGAATATTGATAACTTTCAGTCCCCATTAACGAACAGAATTCAATCCTTGCAGTTGTATGTAAAGTAATACGAAAGTATAATAAGTAATTTCTCACAAAATCAAAAGGATTTACAAACTATGATTTAAGCAATAAGTTTTGAGATTAATGAATTCGGAGTCCGCATCAAAATTATGAACAAAATATATTCTGTGAAATTTTCGGCTTGTATAACCGAGCACCAAATTTTCAATTACTTGATATTAGAAGTTAGTGTCATATGGTTAAAAATAGGATTTTAATTTACACTTTGAAAAGGATTTCACTGGAATCTACTTACCAACATCAGTAGTTGTTAATTCCTTTTTCAAGCAATCTCTAGTGTGTTAGGTTGGAATTTACCATGAACTGACATCAGTCGGAGGATCGTTGGAAATTTGGGATCACTTAACAGCTGTTTGGTCCCAGAACGGGACTCCTCACCCATGACCCCGTCCCATCAGGTATCGAATCCAGGACCTTCAGGTTCCGTGGTCAACACGTTATCATAAAGCCAATTGTTCGAAATCCAGTGGTCCATATTTCCTACTTCTGTCAGTTCACGATATAGTGCGACCTATATGCTGTGTCGTCGTACCAGCGGAGTCAACCAAGTCAAATATGAGGACAGTTACTCAACGACAAATTTTGCGTATAGGTCGCACTATATCGTGAACTGATAGAAGTCGAAAATGTGGATCATTGGATTCCGACCTAGTGGCTCAATGGTAACGTGCTGACCACGGATCCTTGGGGTCCTGGGTTCGATCCGTGGCGAGTGGGGTCGCGAGGGCGCATTGCTGCGGAGTCCCACGCTGGGACGAAACAACTGTCCAGTGTTTCCAGGTTTCTAATGATCCTCCAACTGATGTCAGTCTATGATAAATTCCAAATAATATACCTCCAGATAGAATCTTCAGTATTGCCTGGTCAAATTAAGGCGATCTAAACACAAGAGCAACAGTTCATGCATTTAGTGCTGAGTATATTAACTTCTGGTCGACAGTTATAAAGTTTTGAAAGCTGAATATTTCAAGTTATTTACAAAGTGAATTTGAGCCAACTGACTCTACCTAGAGTCAACGTGGAACCAATACCATTTGGTCCAACCCAGGTTTCAAATTCCACCTTTGTTTATTTTCTTGGTCAAAAGACTAGGAATAAAATACTTATTTCGTTTGAGATCGATAATGCTGTCGCGGAAAGTTAGTTCATGCCTTTGTGAGCTTTCAAAGGCTGATATGGGTGGGACATGAGTTACAAATGCCTAATCACCATGTGCCTCATCACATAATGTTAGTTGAAGTAAGTTCAGGCTGGAAAAGCGCTTGAGGCGGCTAGGTTAAGATGTGACATCCCTGCATGAAGTCCTTGACCGTTGGTCTGAACCATGCAGGAAGATGCAGATTAGTCAGTTGGAGTGCAAGTGACAGAAGAAATCAGTGGTTGGAGGTTCTAGGTGATATGGTTCAGAATCAATGTCACTGGCGTACATGTATCCACATCTTATCTTCATCTTAACCACTATACTGAATTCATCAGTTTCTCATTCCTCCTTCCTCTCTTTTACAGCTTTTGACTGCTTCTAACCGATTTTTCTTTCTTTCGTCACCTTTTATATTATTATTTTGTTTCCTGTTGTGGTGATATGCAGTATGGTAGCTTCGACCATTATGCGGTAATTTTTGATTCTTTTCTGATATTGGTGATGGTTATCTGAGTTGATCCTGTGAATATACTGCTTCTGAGCTCGGTATCACGTGAATGAAATGGTCATTTTACTAGCCAAGCGTTAGTGAGTAGTTGTTAGTGAATAGATCAAGATAACCTTTCATATTAATCTAAATACTCATAAATTTCCCTTTGTCAAAGCCATAGGATCGATCTAATAATCTATAAGATAATAAGAGTTCACATGACGAAAAGGATTAGAAGATATGAAAGCGAACAATGTTGTTTTTATTAGGATCTTTCTACACTTCATTTTGATAATATGCACAACTTTCCATACAAAAAATAAGTCAATCATAAGGATTTATTTGTCAACAATTGCAAGGACCTGGATTATGCTATTTAGAGTAATAAAAGGAGTAATAATAATGACAACGAAAATGATGATTAGAAAACGAAGTGAAGTTTTCTTAGTTTTCTTACTCATGATAAAAATGTTGAAAATGATATGGTCGTGCTGAGGAACTCAAAGGAAACCATAGCTTGTAGCAGAACAATAGGGTTACGCAACACTAAAGGAAGAAGTTAGTGGATAAACTGAATAGTTTGGGAGAAGAAAGGGATAGAAAAAGAGTGGTAAAAAAGGAAAGAAAAGATTCTCAAAATCTCTGCCACCGTAAATATTCATTATGACTTCTGTGGCCAAAGCATTAATAAAGGACTTCTTTTGAATGCAGCGGCTTAGATCATTTGTTTGAATTATGTATGCAAGAGGTAGTTTCAAACTCCATAGGAAAGGTTTGATCGGGGTATATTTGTATGATTTACTGAAGTTTACAAGGTAAACTATACCTCTTTCTAGCCTTGTTAATGTTCGCAAACCAGAACTTTCTCTTCCTCCAGTCTTTTACGCGCATACGTGGTCATTTCACAAAGTTTAGAATTGGCTGGTCTAGGTTTTGGGACTTCTACAAAAATCTAAAGTTTGATTGTAAAATAATCACCACTTATCTGTATATTCATCCTTTGGTGTATTATGTAAAATGCTTCTGGATTTTTCAAGTATTTACAACCGTTATAGTTTTTGGTTGATAAAATATTTCATTATTAAATTACAGTTAATCTTCAACTACCACTGTCGTTGCTAAATTTTTTCAAACTATGACCGACTACAAAACTATGATGGTAAAGCTATACATTAAATTTTCTTTACTGAGTGGTCTCGTTTATTGAAAGTGATTTCCGAAAAGAGTTACTCTAGAACACTTTTTAGATGTGGTATTATTCTAAGGACAAGATAAATAAACAGAGGGGTCAGCGTAGAAGCTGGTATGGAAGTACTGCATCAGACTGCAAAGAAGAAGTAGGCAGAAAATAGAAAGTGAGGTGGGCAAAAGTGTTTAACATGATAGAGAAAGAGAGAGGGTAAATAGATGAGTAATAATAAAATGTTTCGAGATCTCGAGGATGATAAAGAGTATAAGTATCTGCACTCTTCTGAACAATTTTAAACCATTTCAAAAAGAGTCTCTAACCACCAAGTCCTACCATATCTAAGATTCCAACCAGGCAGTCTACATCTAAAGACACAGGTTAAACCGATAGCAAACAAATTCATGAATTGGTGCCATATTTTCATTTGACCACCCTTAACCTTCATCAAACTCAAATTTACCTAGGCTAAAATTGAACATCAAGGTATGTGTTGGTCCTTCATGTGTGATAAATGTTCATACCATTTTAGATGGTAAGGGTTCACAATGTCATCGACCTACTGGTTCTCCTTGCCTAGTACTACTGTCCATGTGAACTTGACGATATGCACACCATGACTTTACCGAAAGCATCTAATGCTATGAAGACATTTGTGCTTACAAACCCGTAATCTTTTTATATCTAATTTCAATGACTGTCTCCCAGCTGTGTGGTAGAATACAGCCATATGTTGCACACCACACTCGTGCTTCGATAACTAGTTGAATATATCGTCAGGCCAAACAGGCATTTTGAATCTAAGCCTTGGCTTCCCATCGCATTAAGGTTGATGCCACTTTCCGAGTAAGTAGACTAGTTAACATATTTCGCCACTTCGCTCCTAATCTTTATGTCCGAATTTGATGGAGTTCCGTCGAAAACTGTCCACAAACCTTCAGACACTTATGTGGATTTGAATACATCCTTCAAAATCAGACGCTGCAACAACACTTTACAGCTAACAGATTCAAATGCCGTCTTCAGGTCATGAAGTATGAAAAGTGTCGTGTCCCAGTGAGTGTGTCTGTGATACAGAACCTATTGAAAGGTGGAGGTTTGATCAATACACTCTCATCTAAGTCTGAAACTCGCCTTATTTCTTCAAGCTTGTCGTTGGATAATCATGGACCTTAGGATCTTAGATACAATGTATGTCAAAATGGTTTTTTCATTCTTATAGACTGTAATAACCAGTGTGACGGGACTACCTCTGATTCCAGTACAATAGCTACTACTTTCAGTCTTTTCAGTGGTTTTCCTCCTCGATTCTTGAAAACCTCTGACGTCGAACCGTTAGCTACGGCTGCGTAGTATCATGTCAAGTCTGACCCGACCGTCTCAAATTCTAGAAGAGTGGGAGCCCTAATATCTACGTCCTGTTGGTTTTTGGATTGAAGGCTAGGCGACTAAAGGATTGCTATGGGTCAACAGAACCGTTGTTCAAAGTGTTCATGGACCTGCCATTTTCAAAGTTTGTCCAGCTAAGTAATCCCATGTTTGCCAGTGCCTTCAATCAACTTAAGTAATTGCTGAGTATTACCTTGTACTGATGCCTTCTTCCCCTCTTTCACTCATCTCGCCCATCGCTGCTTGCAACCATTGCAAATACTCTTAATTAGTTTTAAGTTACTTTCTCTTCTCACTGTAATCAGAGGTAGCTGGAATGAGTTTTACCATATCAGTCACTTTGCATTGTGTTGCAGCTAACCACTGGCATTTGGTGACCTTTGGATGTAGGGTACCAACTTCCCTTACTGTTATCTCTATAGCAGACTGAATACAAAGTCAGGGTTTATCAAGAAGAGGATAGCTGCTATATCTAAATAAAGTTTTAGTTATCACTTTTTTGAACTATACACTTGACGTTCTCAATTAAGCATACAACAGCTTCACTGCTGTCTATTTTCAGTGACCATGAAAACTTAAACACATACACCTGCGCTAATGCGTGATAGGAGTTCAAACAGGTACTCCAGAAAGAGCGATAATCGTTCACCCTTAAATTTGAACTTAATGCCGACCAGAAACAAGTGATTGTCACAGGGAGATCGTAACAGATGGTCATCTTTGTGGTTTCATCGATATGGGATGACACAGATATCCATAAGATGCTTTTTAGATTGTCTCAGCTCGGTTAATTTATCATTCAAACTGAATGCTACTATTAATACATCTCAGTGTTTTGTTTTCTGAAGGGAAACTGACTACTTTCGACAGAACTCATCGTCTTTGTCGTCTGGACTGCGCGTAGGCAACTAAGAATAGATATCATCAAGTGTTTTGGTTTTTTCTAGTTCTTACAAATTCGTTCAGTTAGATGTCACATAATCTACTGTCGACTGCTATTGAGTCGAGATCACCTTATACTCTACAACTTCATGTCATGTCTACAACAGTGGGTCAAGACGAACTAGGCATTGAATCTCCATATTCTCGAAAGGTGAATTTTGCAGATTCGTAATATTGGCCGCATTTAGGTCAAGCGACTAACCACGCTTAGGTCGTGTATGCTTGTTTAAGAAATACAGTACAAGTTTTTGTAAGAGACAGCTGTTTTTTTTGATTCACGGTATAGGGTGATTTTCACCTTCCCATTTCCTAGATACCTTTTTGTTATTTATAGTGGGACGTCAAGGAATAAAATTTCTAGCCAGCATAGCTATTTGGGTCTTAGTGATATACGAACCCGACTGCTACATCATCTGTTGCTTCAATATCTGAATATTTGAGTACTTTGTAATTGACTTTTTTCTTCATCCTTTATTCTTTCATGTCTGACTATACAAAAGTAACAAAAATCAAACTGTATGATGTTTTTAGTTTCTTACTCTGAATAACTTTATTGAATAGTTGTAATTATCGGCAATTAAAGTCTTGTAAGTCATATATTTGAATGCAAAGGTTGCTTTTTCACTAAATATAGGGGAAAATGTTACAATTATTCTTGTATTACGTTTAATAGATGACTCATCATAGTCTCAAGGTAGGAAGGAGATATTTATGAATGAGTAGATTAAGTTATACTAAAGTGGCAGAAGTAAATATTATTTCCAGCTTTAAATGCTATTGATTATAAAGAAAGAAATAAGTTTTTTCTTCTACTAATAATTGTATTCTGTTACATTTTCTTTTGTTTATAGACTTTAGTTTCATTCCATTTAAGATTAATTCTGTTCAAAATCATGAAAATTCAATAAATTTAACTCTCATTACACCGTTATCATCATTATCACAATCATCAACATTATCATCTTCTTCAGTGTATGATTTGAACGATTCAGTGTATACCACTAATGATAGTATAGATTCTATAATGCCTTTATTCAGAAATAAACCAGACTTTAATGATTTCAATTCAAAGGGAAATCGAAAATTTTCAATATTCAGTCAACGTAGATATCAAACAATGTTTTATGTACAATTTCGACAATTAGGTACTGAGATTTGGGAAGAAACACAAAAAGAAATTCATAATTCATGGGTTGTTTTAAGTAACCTAGAACAAGGTAATAAATCGTTTATATTACTACATTAAGTCTAGAGTAATTTTGGTGCTTCTGAGATGAGAACATTTTTGTAACCTTATTCATAATCTACCTTTAGATAAATATTCATTGACCAAAATCTTAAAAATAGTGAAGTTATGAACTTTAATTTACTATGTATACATGTGTATAACAACCAACCAAGAACCCATCACCCAACAAATATGCAGAAGAAAATGGAGATGGACTAGGCATACACTGAGAAGGTTGACTGGGGTTATCACGCACCGAGCCCTTGAGTGGAATCCAAAGGGGAAACGACGAGTTGGGCTTCCGAGATGAGGGTGACATGGAGGAGGTGGTGTGAGTCATGGAGGTAAGTTCAAAAGACTGGAGAGAAGAGAGTGTAATAGAGGCGTGCTACTGAAGCCCTATGTTCCACTAGGAAACCAAGAGAAAAATACTACTCATAATAATACATGTCTATAAGTTAACATGTGAACAATTCAGTATCCTCATTTCTGAAGTGAATCTATCACGTTGACAAAATAGGGATCTATAAATATTTTAAATATCCTTGAAAGTTGCAAGTTACATATTTATTACACTAGCGATTTTTAACAAGGACGAAACATGAGTCTTCGATTCTACTGCCAACCATTAACCATCTTTATTAGAATTACTCAAAAAATGGATAATGGTTCATAAAACACACAAGGAGAACATACCTGCAATATCTGTAATGTAGTAAGGGTTATCATTGTGAAGCCAAGGCTTACATTTTGACAACTTACAACAGAGGGGATTATTCATCGTTGAAATCAAGACATCTGTTCTCTCTAAACCTCAAGTTCACTAATCTCATTATTGTCGCATGTTAGTTTAGGGGGCCGTAAATCAGTCCCGACTGTGGAGTTACAAGAAATATATTCAGATAGAGAGACGAGAAGATAATTTGACTTGTATTCAACATTATCGCCATACATCTTGAACATTTTCGATACAACATGAAATCTAGAGATAAGCATTAGTGTTATTAACCATTTACTTTACCCGAGAGTATACTTCATCAGTTGGTGACACTTGTGACGGAGATGAAGGTTGGTAATTTTGACTGGCTGGTTCTCAGCGGAAACTATTGACACTACAGTTGGATAGTTGAAAAGTTACGAATCAGTTATTATTATTCATCCTTTGGATTCCCACTGGAACATACGGCTTCATTATTACGTCGTCATTTCACTCTCTTCTCTGCTGTCTTCTTTTTATCATGGCTCCACGACTGCCCTCACAGCATGTCTGCTGTTATCTCTGAGTCTGTTTTCAGTGCTTCTGGCAGGACTCCATCTGGTCCTGCTGCTTTCCCGAATTTCAGCAGTTTTATGGCATTCACGACTTCTGCTTTTGTCAGAGGGCCTGTGCTCACTGGCAGTTCTGTGGCTACAGGTGGTATTTCTGGACAAAGTGCAGGTGGTGGTGGATTAAGAGCTTTCTGAAGCGGTCAGCCCATCGTTTCCTTTGTTTCCCTTCTTTGCTGGTAAATAAGTCTCCTTTACTATCTTTCACTGGTTATTTGATATAATGTTTTCAGGTCTCCTACCTACAGCCTGTTTTGCTTCACTTGCCAATGTGTCGTAGAAGTGTCTTTTGTCTTTGGGTGCACTCTTCTTCACTTCTTTGTCCAGTGTAGTGTTTTATGGGTTATGCGAAGTTCCTCTTTTCATTGTTCATCCCTGCACTGCACTGATTCATCTGCTTCACCGTCTTCCTCTCCCTCCTCTATCAGCTTCTATGTGTCTACCGAGATACGTTCCATTCCTTATCTTGTTTCTTCTAACTTCCTAACACGGTTATGCAGGCTTCCTTTCACGTCTATTTCAAAGAGTTCCAGTGTTCTTCCACTCAGGTTTCCTCGGTGATGATACCTAACGTCTCCCACTTTTTCCTGATGGCTGACTGATGTGAAGATGTCGTTTGAAGTCTCGTCCTTCAGGTTCTGGGTGTTGACTTCGAACTACAGTCTGTCACCAGCTTCTTTGAAGGCTTTCAACTTGATTTCGAAGGTGGGTCCATTGCACTAGATGGTGAATGGTCTGAAGCTACATCCGCTCCCCTTCTTGATCTTGTGTCCAGTAGGCTGAGTGCCCACCTTCTTGTGATTGAGATGAAGTCGATCTGATTTTTAGTGCAGTTTGTCCATCTGGTGCAGTCCGTGTCGCTTTGTGAATATCACTGTGTTTGTACACGCTGCCTCCAATCACCAAATCGTTGAATGCGCAGAAGTCTGCAAACAGTTCTCTATTCTCGTTTATTTCACCAAGGACTTCTTGACCCATGTTGAGTTCTCTTCTTGTGTTGTCTGCTTCGAGTTTAGCATTCATGTCGCCCATTAGAATTTTGATGTCGCCAACTGGAGTCTTGTCCAGTACTGATTGCAGTTGTCTACAGAATTCCTCCTTCTTCTATTGGTTCGTGTTATTTGTGGGTGGGTGGCGTAGCATTGTATGGTTGTGACTTTCCTCCCTTCCTTTTGAGTTGAATCTTGCTGTTATGATCCTGGAGGAGGAGATTGTTTCCCACCGCATTGAAGAGAGCCTTCGATGCTCTTCAAGGGGACATCATGATAGCCACTCCATAACTCAGTGTGCTCATGGTTGTCGTCTGGAAGACAATATCGGAGTAGATTATTGACTCCTCTGCAGTTGACAGTTTGGAGAATCCACTTCCATTCCATCTGCAGACTCCTCACAGATTCCTAGCACATCTGTGCCATACCTTCTCATCTCTTTTTTAATCTGGACAGCCTTGTCAGCCAGCCAGCCAGCTTCAAACATCATGCGAACATTCGATATCCCCATGTTTGCTTTTGCTTTCATCGACAGAGAGACGACACATCTGCCAGTTTGCTTCCCGAAGGCAGACTTTCACTAACCGGAGTCATTTCTTCTCCCCGATTCCAGCAAGGAATAGGTTTATTTTTTTATTTTTAATATTTTCTTTGTGCTTTGAAGTTTTTCCAGAGATTGGATTAGTTTTACGAGGTAGGGTGTCTAGCCCTATGCCGAATCTTCCCTCTTTATCCGGACTTAGGACCGGCTAGTAACTAGTTAACTAGTAAAGTAGGCGGAGTTGAAAAGTTACTTATCTGTGACAGTTATCAATGTGGACCGTGAAATTTTTAAATTATTTGTGATTTGATTATCCTGTTTAAGCTTGTACTGGTTCATTTAATTTAGCTAACCAGGTTTAGCTGGTCTGAGAAATTCAACTGTATGTGCTGAGTTTGTTTGGGTAAACCTTTGATGAGTTCGGCCACAAACCAGTGGAACTGCTGTCCGGTGGCAGGCGAAATCTATAGATAAGCGTGAGTGGAGCCTAACTTTTCATGTTTTTCAGCGGCATATTTCACACATGAATTCGTCGGTTGCGAAAATCGAAGATAGGCCAAGGATATCATTAGACATTGTAAGAGAAGAAAAGAAAATGAGGCTAAAATAAAAAAAGCTCTGTAGTACATCACCGTTGATATGGAAGATGAGATCAATGTTAGCAAAGAAGATTTGTGTTGAGTACACACATGAGAAAGGCCTGGGAATGTGGGTTTTGATGTAATCTTTTAAATGCTGTCTTGGATTGCCTTAACGTGTGCAATGTCTTCTCGCTGTCTTAGCTGTTAATAACTTCATCAAAGGAGCCTTATTTTTAAAGTTAATACTGAAGTGATGAAATGTTCACAGCAAAATATCAAAGCTCAGACAACACCAACCGACTATTGTCCTCATGCTAAGCCACGAATCTTTTTCCCCACTATTATAACTTCTAGCTGGCAATAACTCCAGTGGGATAGTGATTCAATATATACCATACTTCAAAATTATCTCAACTCACTAAGCTAAGGAAACATTTGAGAAACTTAATCGATCTAGACGCGTTTAATTTCTCCAGCATATGATTCAAAACTACTTTTTTCATATATAAGTAGTTAACAAATATTTTGTAATTTACTATGAATTTCAGGTTGTCAATATGAAGTTCGAATAGTGTGCGTTTCAGAGAATGGTCGGTCAACTGTTAGTGGTTCAAAAATTGTAAATATACCACTTTCAAACAGTTTAATGATGATAAACAAATGGAAAATATTATCTAAACATAATCAAAAATTAATAATTGTCAGTGTATTATGCGGTTTATTCTTAATATTCAGCCTTGTTGGAGGTTTCTGTTTACTTGTTTGTTGGTTTAGGCATAAACCAAATTCCAATCTGGTGAGAGATAATTACACACCAGAGAGTATACATAAACGGACAGAATCAGTTCGTCGTCATTATCCTGACCATCACCAGCAACAACATCATCAATATGAACCACCTATAGAACAATATCCAGAGCCACATATGAATTGGACACTGGATGAAGAGATGACATTAAACAATATTGACTATTTAACATATAACTTAATAAATGCTAGTAATAATAGCAGCTTTAATACGACAGCATATCAACTGGGTTCGTGTGTATGCGAATCAGGTATACCTCATAATAATAATAATGATAATAATAATACCTCCACTACTATTACTACTAATAGTAATATAAATAAGTCTATCCCATTGATTCATGGGGCATATATAACAGATTGTGATCCACTTGTAAACAATTGTATTACATTTTTGAAGTTACCACAATCTCAGACGAATTCATTGACAACAGAAGAGAATTTTCCTAATTCTTTAGTGAATCTCGATAATCCTAATCATTATTATAATAATAGTGTAATTAACCATAACAATAATAATAATAATATTGATAATAATACAATTCGACAGACTTATATAGGCAGTTTGTTAAATAGAATTTGAATACCGGTCTAATTTTCTACTAATTGTATTATTTACTTTTGGCGCCTTTCATTCTTTACTGAATGACCCCATCATTATAATGAAGTGTAGGCGAAAGATGTAAACTATTTTCACCATTTTATACTTTTTTGAATTTAGATTTTATCCACTGTTTTTTTTTTTATCAATGTCAATAAAACATTTCCACTATATAAATGTTTTATCACTTGGTTTTCAGTTTTATTCTCTATCAATACTTGTTAAAGTTGAAGTAAATTAGGTATTGTTTGGTCATCCGAGGATTGGTTTACTCTTCATGTAATGACTGACCTAACATACTACAATGACCTAATAATGTTATCATAACTAAGGATGGTTGTTCTTCGAGGTTATGATCATATGGGATAATTATCCAGATAGTGATGGTATGAAAACTCGATAAACTCTTGAATACAAATATTTCATCTTCGTGAATGATTCACAATATTGACTGGACTTGGATACAGTAGAAGTTATTTGCTTATATAAAATGGCCAGCATACTGAATAGTACTACATTTCTATTAATAAAACAGACAACCAGACTAGGCTGATGCTCAAAAGAACTAATTTTCTCCCCAGGTAGTGTTATTATTGTATGAAAAATGTTTAGAAAGTATAACTACCACTTTAGAAGAGAGAATGTGATTTGAAGAATTTGAGTGTCTAGTTAATACTGTGAAATTTCGTTAACAATTCCAATACTTGTTTATTGACACTTGTATTCTCCCGTTGCTACACAAGGTAGAATTACTCTATCAATATCAGCAGATGGGCTCCTATGTTGATGTTGTGGAGTGCCTGGTGGGTAATAGTGAAATATAAGATATGTGTTTTGTACTATTTGTGACTCATCAGCTGCATTCTAGTAGGTGATGTTGTTCCCACTGAGACTCTTACCCAGTAGGCAATGCTGCAAACGCTAGAGCATTATCCACTGGGGGCATGATAGCCACCTTTATTGCAACAGGTATCAGTTGTTATTTATTGGCACTTACAATTTCCCGTTGTCATACTTGATCGAATTACTCGAACTCACTTACTCGGATGCTGGTAAATTTGGTTGACAAGTTCCAAAAAAGGTGAAAACCTAATACATTTTGTAATATCACTTATTTCACTTGAATTAACAGTTCGCCGGACTATCTAAACCTGCGTTGAATTGGACATATTGGACATGAACTGAACCATTCCACCATTTTGAATTTAAATCCTTTGCTGTAGTGGCGGGTGGTAAAGTCTAAAGATACAAAAAGACAGCACCAACAGGTAACGGAAGATAGTTATTTGGGTTTATCAAGGCAGCTGGGGTGAAAATGTTGGTGATTAGTAAGACTATACCGGGGAAGACTGAAACGATGAGTGGAGCATATCAGGGCACAGTCGAACTGTTTTCCACCTGCTCTTCGGTAAAATTCTTTCTAGTTGTCTTCCAAACAAAACATTGAGATAGTCTTCACTTGCAGAATTCGTGAAAGCTATAGACAGTTTGAAATGAAGGAGAGTAGTGGGCGTGATAAATACTAAATACTAAATTTAGTATCTCTGACGCTGACTCTTCAGGTATGCATAAATTTCTTTCAAAAATTTTTGCTTACTGTGTTTCCTTACCTAGTAGTTAATATTTCGTCTTAAAAAATGAAGTTTGTGTTTATTTGGTGCAACAAGCGGATTTCCTGCTTAAACAATGTGAAAGACCAGATGGATTGAGGCTCCTGCAGGTCAGAGAAAAATATAAAAGGGTAATTCAGGTGCTGGTGAAATTTACAGCCTGCTAATTTTTGCTTGTGTCAACAATTTAAAAGATGAGCCACTGTTCATGGTTATGAACAATACATTTTCTTCGAAATGTGATGTAGGAAAGAGTACTGTACATGTTGTTTTGCATAGCCAAATTCCAGTATAAGCATGTACAGTACTCTTTTCTACATCACATTTCGAAGAAAATGTATTGTTCATAACCATGAACAGTGGCTCATCTTTTAAATTGTTGACACAAGCAAAAATTAGCAGGCTGTAAATTTCACCAGCACCTGAATTACCCTTTTATATTTTTCTCTGACCTGCAGGAGCCTCAATCCATCTGGTCTTTCACATTGTTTAAGCAGGAAATCCGCTTGTTGCACCAAATAAACACAAACTTCATTTTTTAAGACGAAATATTAACTACTAGGTAAGGAAACACAGTAAGCAAAAATTTTGAAAGAAATTTATGCACACCTGAATAGTCAGCGTCGGAGATACTAAATTTAGTATCCTTTGTTACAATGTTATTTCCTGAAGTACGTAAGAAAGTGATATTTTCGGTGCATTGGAAGTCAAATATGTATTCTTCCTAGGTTGCTGACAACTAATCCGTATCCTTCAGTACACAAATTTATGAAAAACAGCAAAGCAAAAATTGCAGCTGGATACTTCACGTACTTTATTGTGTTTGATATGATGTGAAGTAGCGAGTAAGATAAACCTATTACAAGGTTCTTTCTGAAGTTTGAGCTGAAGATTTCGTGTAAGATGACAGTGAAACCTTCACGGTTTAAACATCCAGCTTAGTCAAAACAACACCGGCGAAATCAACCTCCTGTGCTACAAATATTCTCCATCATATTACAAACACAGTCGTTTGTTGAGTATCTGTCTTCACGGCCATCAGGCTTTGACTCCACCGGTAGTTTGTGAATTTTTATGTATAGAATGAAGTAATTAAAGCTTACATATCTATATCTCTCTCCTTATTACAGCGTTGCACATATGATCTGGCAAGCGGCGTATTCAGCTTAGAGTTCTACCGAAATTTAGGAACCAAGTAAATCATACTTCCTTCATTTTTATTGTTTGTTATATATATAAAGTAAGGGAAAGTGTATGTTCGAAACATTGAGATTTTAGATAATAGTAAATCATTAATATCAAATGAATGGCGGGTTCTGTTTGAGAGAAATGCTTGTTAATCAGGATGTTTGTGAGATTCAATTCAAATAAATATACAGATGGCGGTGGCTTTTGTGTATTGATAGATAATAGAAGCCAGAACAACGTTTAAACGGATGCTGAGTAAAGTGACTGACGCACCACAGAGATTTTCTGTCATGCATAACAGAGAATGTGTTACGCATCTGTTAAGTATCAGGGGATACTTCAGGACTCATATGTACCGACTCCTAGTTCAAAGATAAAAGGTGAAGTGGTAGGATGGTTTGGTCAATTCCCTTAGTTATAGAGCTACATCAGCCCAAATGAGTCGGTTGTTGGTGAAATCTTAATTTGGCTTCCATAGGCCGGTTTGGCACTTACCAATCAGTGTCATCTTTTGGCTGGACGACTTATCCGACTGCCTATTAAAGGACAACTATGCTGTGCCGTTGTTCACTCCATTCCTATATACACTTGTGAAATGTAACAGGTAAAATTAGATAAGAAGCGACTGAAGAATTCTGACAAAAATGTTTTCGTTGACATTTGGAAGGAAGATAGATAGGTCAAATTATCAGCGACCAAGATGGGTTTGACGTATGTTGCCGTGATAAGCCACCTCCTTCTTTGACATGCAATGTTAGCTGAAGTACGATTAGGTCTAATGAAAGCCAATGATGGCTAGGTCAAGACGTAGCACCAGTCCATTATGTTTTTGGCTGTCAGTCTGAGCCATGTAGTGAGGTACAGACTGCCTGGTTAGGATTCTTAAATAGAAAGGGAATGAATGGTTGTAGACTGTGATATGAATGAAAATCGGTCAGAATATCGAAATACTGACTGTTTGGCATCTTCGAAAGCTAGTATGTTTTCGTATATCTCAAAATTGTTTTCCTCTCTCTCCCCATAAACTTTTTTGATCCCATAACGCTTCTCATATCCACTTCACTATCGCATGCTGCTGTAAAGTGTTGCATTTGTCTGTCTTTCCCTGTTATGAATAACTGTCAGTTACTTTCACTGGATGAAGCAACTTAGAACTTGGTTTTTAACTTAGTCTGGTAATTTCATGAAAAATTCAGTCATAGTATTAGATTCGATTCCTTTTTCACTTAACAGTCATACCGTAACCATAAACTCATCAAATTGAAGTCAAATATGTCTGTAAGTAATGCTTTTACTTATGGTCGACGTGATAACTTCAACTTACCAGGAAATCCGAAGTTCACATGAACGATTCCTTCTGGTATTCATCATTTGCGCAGACGTATTCAGAAGTTTTATTTGTCTTGATTCAAAGGATTTTTAATCACTGATTATTCGGGAAGAGTGTGTCATCAATGACTGATTTTCACTGGAGATTCAATAAAAATATAGAAACATAGAAATTGTTTAACTCGTGTGAGATGTTGGGACGTTCACAAATACTGTATGTCATATGGAACTGAGTCGAAACCATTCAGGTCTTGTTTAGAGTACACCTATATTCAACTTATGAATTAAAATCCAGTAGTTACTACTTCGACCACAATCAGGTCCATATATGACGCCAAGTTTACCCAGTTTTATAAACTGTCATTCAACCTACCTTACCTATTAGTTCAACAGACTATTCATGATTTCCTGGAGAAACTTTAGGAAAAAGAATCAAGTCACCTATTTGCGCACATAAAATTCTACTCAACTTTGTTGGTGAAAGGAGAATGCAGGAGTTTTGATTTCTTCATGTTGAACCAGTCGTTATGTACTACTTCTTTACTTTTACTCTGTAATCCACTCCGATGAATAGATAGCCTCACCCACTTCTTATAGACCATGGGTGAATGAGGTAAACTCCAGATTTCCGTTGAATACTAACTGATCTGCTTCAAGTTAAGTGTTCTTCTATCTCCCAACTGCTTAACAAAATCCAACCTTCTACCAGAACTCACTTCTAACCAAGTCACAGGGTAGTTTCCTCAAGTTTCATATGAGGAGGATAGATACCATCTTTTGTAGTTTACACCGGATTCGCCATCCGAACGTCTTGTTAAAATTTAAAGACATTCAACTGATCTCGGATGATTTAAACGGTGCTTATTGACTAGAGTAGGATAGCTTATTTAGCCAAAATATTCATTTATATTGCGAATAGGCCAGTTAACCGAGTTTATGGCTGTTAACCTCAAACGGCTCATTCGAACTGTGTAGGGGCCCATTTTCACCTCCTGTCGGA